ATTGTTGTTTGGCGGGTCCGGGCTGGGGATTCGAACCCGCCACCTTAGGTGTACGTGGCTGGCGCCTTAGCCAGTTGAGCTATAGGCGCCGAGCCTATACTTTTACAAAAAGTTTCACTTAGTATGAAGACAGTCTCAGCTCTAACCTGAAGTGTTATAGAAATTTTTAGTCACTGGGGAATTTGGAGCTTTATGCTGCTTTTGTTTAACCATTTACATAAGTGGATTATATAACAATTAATGTAATTAATTTTTCATTCTGTTCATCTTGTTTTTACTCCTTTTGGTATCACAAGCGAGTAAGTTAGAATTACTAAAACAAGGAATTAGTTATGGCTGAAAAATAAATGTGTCTTTTATAGTAGATGGTAAATAAAACAAACCTTTTTTTTCTGAGACAGAGTTTCACTGTGCTGCCCTTGGTAGAGTGTGGTGGCATCACAGGTCACAGCAACCTCTAACTCTTGACCTTAAGCAATTCTCTTGCCTCAGCTTCCCAAGTAGCTGGGATTACAGGTGCCTGCTACAACACCTGGCTATTTTGTTGTTGTAGTTGTCATTATTGTTTGGCAGGCCTGCATCGAGGCTACAGGTGCCAAGCCAACAAACTTTTCTTGTAGTCATTGTATTTAAGTGTGTCATTCATATAATACTGAATACATATTTTGCATCACTTTAAGATATATCATAATTGGGAATCCATAATATATATCAATACTTTATTAAAAGTATTTTAATAAAGGTCAAATACTTTATTAAAAAATCACTATGAATGTATTTGCATAAGCCCTATCAGATATGTATTTTAGTATATATACCAAAAGTCCTTAGAACACATGTTTTCTTAGAAGTAGTGTGGTTGTAAGTTTAAAAAAAAAAAAAAAACGGTTAATTTTCTCTGGGTTTTCTCCTGAAAGGTATGTGTAATTAAAGTGGTATAATATTAGATTATGTTTTACACCTGGGCTGGAGATTAGTGGCATTAGCAGGTAAGTGAAACTAGGAAGGAGTAGTGACTGTTTCCACATGAAATGACTAAGGTATCTACTTTTCTACATAGAGTTGATTAGATTTCTACCTAATTTTTGTTCTCTCCCTTTTTTTTTTGAGACAGAGTCTCATTATGTCACCCTTGGTAGAGTGCTATGGTGTCACAGCTCACAGCAACCTCAAACTCTTGGGCTTAGGTGATTCTCGTGCCTCAGCCTCTCAAGTAGGTGGGACTACAGGTGCCCAATACAACGCCCGGCTATTTTTTTTTTTTGTTGGAGTTGTCATTGTTGTTTAGCAGGCCTGGGCTGGGTTCGAACCTGCCAGTCTAATGTATGTGGCTGGTGCCTTACCCACTGAGCTATGGGCACTGAACCTCTTATCCCCTTTTTAAGAGTTATTTCTTATGTCAGGTCTAGATCTTTGCCACTTTACTTCCCGCTTTTATCTTTGGTTAAAAAGCTGGTAGCATCAGGTATGGTTTTATCAGGTGCTTGCTGTTGCCTCCACTCACCATAAGAAACCATTTTGGTATAAGCTTTAGGATCCAGCTGATACAGTCTGGTGTCCTTAGTGTTAAAAGCCGTGGTGGTGTAAGTGGGATTACTCAGAGGCTTACTATGTTCAGTGAGCCTCAGTAACAGTGGTTGGGGAGTAGTTCAGAACATCTGCTTAACAGCTTTTCACTCTGGACCTCCTTTGTAAATATTGAGCAGCCAATAAAAAGTTGAAATAATTTCGTGGCTTTGATAGTAAATCTGACCACGCTTTATCACCAATGCAGATGTTAGTGAAAATTTTAAAAATTTATTCTTTTAACATTAATGCAGATTTTCTTTTTATTACAACAGACATTTGCGTAACAACTCATACTTGTTATCAATTTTAATTTTTTCACTAGCACTTAAAGAAATCAGAAATGCATTTGACTTATTTAAATTAACTCCAGAAGAAAAATATGATGCTCCTGATAGTAATCGGAAAAGAGAAGAAATACCACTGGATTGTAAAACCACAGAGGATCACAAAACCAAGGAAAATAAGCAGTTGCTTAAAGAAAGGAGAAATACCAGGGATGAAACTGATACTTGGGCATATATTGCTGCAGAAGGTGACCAGGAGGTTTCAGACACTGTGTGCCCAGTGGATGATAATGCAGGTGAGTTTCTTTGGAATCATTTTGCAGAATTTTTTAAGGTAGCCCATTGCATTATTTTAGTCTACTTTTCTCTCCCACTGTAATTCTGATCTTGATCAGAAAATAATGGAGTAGAAGATTTTATTTGATTTCCTGCATGTTGAAGACTTTGGTCATTCTGTGACTTCTAAATGGGTAAAACAGTTTTTTTGAGCTCTTACAATGTGCTCAGCATATTTAGAAATTATAAAGATTTTAATCTGGGTGTGGTGGTTTATGCCTGTAATCCTGGTACTCTGGGAGGCCAAGGCAGGAGGATCATTTGAGCTCAGGGATTCAAGACCAGCCTGAGCCAAGAGTGAGACCATGTTTCTCCTAAAGTAGAAAAATTAGCTAGGCATTGTGGTGGATGCCTGCATTCCCAGCTACTTGAGAGGTTGAGGCAGAGGATCGCTTGAGCTTGAGCCCAGGAATTTGAGGCTGCTGTGAGCTAGGCTGACTCCACAGTGCTTCTAGCCTGGGGGAACAGAGTAAGATTCTATCTCAAGAAAAAAATGTGTGGGGGGAATGGGTGGAGGGAGGATGATTAGAGGGATCACTTCTGTGGTTTATCTTACAAGGGTACAAGTAAATCTAAGAGTAGAATATGAACGTCTTAACACAATAAAAAAATGACATGAAGGCTATGTTAACCAGTTTGATGAAAATATTTCAAATTGTATGTGAAAACACCACACTGTACCCCAGAATTGTATTAATGTACATAGTTATTTAAAAAAAAAAAAACTTTTGCATAACTCAGGCTGAAAAAAAAAAAAAAGAAAAAAGAAAAAAATGTGGCCAGTTCATATTACTTCCCAAAGAAATCAGAAATTTTAAATTTTAATTTAAAGAAATTTAAATTTCAGTCAAAGAAAAGACTAAATGACCTATGTTAAAAGTGTCTGTATGTCTTAGGACCCATAGCACAGTGGTTATGGCGCCAGCCACATAGTACCCTGGCTGGTGGGTTCAAACCCAGCCCAGGCCAGCTTATACAACAATGACAACTGAACAACAACAACAACTAGACAGGCATTGTGGTGGGCGCCTGTAGTCCCAGCTCCTTGGGAGGCTGAGGCAAGACAATTGCTTAAGCCCAAGAGTTGGAGGTTGCTGTGAGCTGTGATGCCACGGCACTCTACCAAAGGTGATATAGTGAGACTCTGTCTCAAAAAAAAATAAAAATAAAAAAGTATATATACATAGTGTGTGCGTGGTGGCTCACACCTGTATTTCCAGAGAATCAAGAGGCTGAAATAGGATTGATTGAGACCAGCCTAAGCAACATAGCAAGACTCCTTCTCTAAAAAAATAAATACATAAAAATGTAGCTGGGTATTGTGGCAGATGCCTGTGGTCCCAGTTTCTCAGGAGTCTGAGGCAGGAGGGTCCCTTGAGCCCAGGAGTTTGAAGTTAATAGTAAGCTGTGGTTTGAGCCAGTATCTCTGTGTTGGGCAACAGAGTGAGACCCTGTCTTTTTTTAAAGAAAAAAAGAAAAATTGTGCAAAAAGTACTGGTTAAGACACCACAGATTTAATAAATAGCACTGTAAGGTTTTTTTATTCTTGAGAAGAATGTCTGTTAGTAAGGCTCTTGTATGTTCCAGATGGCAGGCAACATATTTTGAGTTTGGGCATGGACTTGCAGTTGGAATGGATGAAATTAGAAGACTTTCAAAAGCACCTTGATGGGGAAGATGAGGATTTTGCTACAGCAGATGCAATTCCAAGTAGTGAGTAGTTTTGGAATTATAAAAATCCCTTTTACAAATCTATATATACAACCTAATTTATCTTTTTTCATTTTAGATTTGTTGAGGGATGCTGTGAAAAACGGGGATTATATTACTGTAAAGGTTGCGCTAAATTCAAATGAAGACTATAACTTGGATCAAGAGGTAACATCTCATGAAAGGAAGATGGGGAAAGTAGCTCTTGTAAAAGAATTGAATTTGATTTTTCATTTCTTTTACAAAGGTAATGTGTATTCACTATGCAAAATTCAAACGTTGCAGACTCTATAAATGTGCAATTATAGTCCCTGTAAACTACTCCAGAGTGACCTTTTGGTTTGGTTATGATCTGTCTGGTTTTGCCTCTGATCTTCCTTCTGCCACTTGAGGAGTGTAAAATGACTCCTGTCCTCCTGTGTTTGCCAGCTGTGTGTTTTTGCTGGTTGCCTTTTGTGTAACAATTGCCCTTTTTCTGGTCTTGCTAGGGATTCCTTTCTTCCTGGTTTGTAAGCTTTGTGGTTTGGTTCTTATATTTCTTATTTAGTTGTGGATTTTTTATGTTTTTTTTAGGTTTAATCCTTTGGGATTACGGTTCAGAAAATTATGGAGATTTTGATTAAAACTGCATGAAATACATTGATTAACTTCAGCACTGACATTTTTATTTACATTTGAGTCTTCCATCTAGGAACATGGTAACTCTGTACATTCATTCAGCTCATTCTTGTGCCCTTAAGCAAAGTTCTATGTTTTTTTTTCTTCATATAGATCTCACACATTTCTTTTAGATGTATTCCTACAAGTTTTATAATATTTTGTTCCCTTACTATGCTTATTAGTCTTTTTTCACTTAGTTTGTAACTGGCTCTTGCTTGTAGATGGTAAAGCTTTTGGTATCTCTTTGTCTCTCCCTCCCATCTCTTACTGTGCTAATTTTTAAGTTACTGTCTTTGGATTTTCTAGATAGATATCATCTGCCCCGAAATAATTCATTGTTCATTTTATGCCATGTGGACTGTTGGTGTGCCGTTCGGATCACATATGCAGGTGTTGCTGGTGCAATTCCAGACCCCTGCAAGTAAAGCAAGTCACCCAAATGTTTTGGTTTCCCAGTGCACATAAAAGTTAGGTTTATATTATACTGTAGACTATTAAGTGTGCAACAGCATTATGTTTGAAAAAGCAGTGTACAGGCTCGGTGCCTGTGGCTCAAGCGGCTAAGGCGCCAGCCACATGCACCTGAGCTGGTGGGTTCAAATCCAGCCCGGGCCACCAAACAACA